GGTTTACCCAAAAAATCAATTAGACAACTGCAGCTGATTCAGAACGCTGCTGCTCGTGTTCTCACTAGAACCAAGAAAATAGAGCACATTACTCCAGTTCTAAAGTCATTACACTGGCTCCCTGTAGCTCAGAGAATAGACTTTAAAGTGCTTTTATTAGTTTATAAATCCTTGAATAGGTTGTACATTAGGGATCTGCTATCATGGTACAAACCATCCAGATCAGTTAGGTCCTCCAGCTCTCGTTTATTGACCGTCCCTAGAACCAGAACTAAACATGGAGAAGCAGCTTTTGGTTTCTATGCTCATCACATCTGGAACACATTATCGGGAGAATGCAAAGCTGCAGAGACACTGAACTCTTTTAAGTCTAAAATTAAAACTTACTTATTTAGACTTGCTTATGAGTAACTGATCATATTATGGCTCTCTACTTGTTTGTTTTAATTTTTCATATAAATTATTGTCTTGATTATTGTTTTATTGTAAATGCTTTCTTGTATTTTACTTTTATAGTGTTTTATTTTTAATCATGTAAAGCAGCGGTCCCCAACCTTTTTTGCGCCACGGACCAGTTTATGCCCGACATTATTTTCAGGAAAACCGAGTTAACGATAAAAACGATAACAAAATAACGCTGAAAACCGATAAAAACCCTGAAAACCATACATTTCACATCTGAGCCTCAACTCTCGCGGGCCGGTACCAAACGTCCGAGGCCCGGGGGTTGGGGACCGCTGATGTAAAGCACCTTGAATTGCCTTGTGCTGAAAGTGTGCTATACAAATAAAATTGCCTTGCCTTGCCTTTAAACCATTCGTGGGCCTAGTGTCATGAAGTTGTCCCACAGTGCAGATTATCCCTGCCTTATAACCGATCTTGATTCCCAGTCATCAAATCTAATGATCCTTGAGAATAAATAAAATCTCTTTAGAGACATTGCAGCTCTAAAAATTTCTCTCCCTGTCACATACATACAGTCAACTCCTCTCTTGACCTGTACATAAGGATGAGGATCCCCAAAGCAACCGTTCAGATGCATTACGTCCACATCTTTCTATTAATCTCTAAAAATAAATCTTCCCGCAAGATCCAGTGTAATTTTCTTATTTGATTTAGGAATCAGCAGCAAAAAGGATGATTTGATATCTTGAACATGATTTGCAAATTGTGTGGGCTCTCGTGCGATCCATATTATGTTAGCAGTTGTGCAGAATCTCTGCACAGCTGCTAACATAAGCCCTCTGACACTTGAATCTTTTAGACATAGTGAGGGCAAAACACTGCTGTGATGTAGAAGTATTTCTCTGTCTTGTTCTACTATTCAGTTGTATTTATATAGCCCTAAATCACAAAATAAAAAAAGGCACTTGGTCAGCAAAACCCCATCAGTCATATGATCTCTTAAACAGCAAGTGTCATTGTTTGACTAGCTGCACCCATAGATGTAATGTTATGTATTTAATGTAATGTAATGAACCACCAACTGCCAAAGAGACAGACAGTGAAAGTAAACAGTATATCCTTAGTTTCTTAACATAAAACTCATTGTTGCAGTGAGGGGCAGTACGAAAGTGACTAATTTTTAGTTTTAGTCCCGTCAGTAGCTAGCTAATATAAACAAATGTAAGTCTATTAAATGCAACCAACTTTGCTTTCTTACAAATTTCACAAGTTGCAAGAAAGCAGATCAGCCTGAGAACATATGTGAGAGGCTGACACAATTGTAAAAGACTTTGTGTCTGATGCTTTTCATCTAACATTTGTTGTGTCAGATCATCAGTGTAACATTAAATGTTGGAGCTCGTTTGCATCATTGTGACCAGTGCTGTCATATTAATATGACCGTATTGTGTCATATGAAAC